TGAATAGTTATCTGAATAGTTTGTATTTGCCTTTGAAGTATCATCTTTTATCAATAAATTGAAACCATAGAAGAGATGAAGTCATCTTTCTACCCTTGCATTCATGCATACATGCATGCATGCATGCCTGATCCATCCATTCTGATTCATTCATTCAGTCAGTCATTCATGCATGTATTCATTGTTTCATTCATTCATTCATTCCTTCATTCATTCATTTACTGGGTTATCAAAGTTTTTCATACTTTTGGGGGCTTTGATCTTTACCTCTTCACCTTTGAGCGGCACAAGGCTCAAAAACCGCTGGTGAAAGTAAAAAAGATAAACCTCAAACGAATATTCTTCCTTCCGCTCAACTATGGAATAAACTTCCAGAAGATGTCGAGCTGGCCCATAATGTTAATATTTTTAAGTCTAAGCTAAGATCAATTCAGCTGTAATTTTTATATTTTCAAATTTTTTGTAATTTCAACAATTGTTTATAGTCATGTGTACATAGATTATAGATTATACGTTTAATTTTTTTATACTAGGTATTATTATGTAATTTTAGAATTAATGCACGTTGGTATGTTGAACAAGCACTTGTACTCTTAGACGATAACGAGGTTAAATAAATTAGTGTTGTTGTTGTTGATATAAGTGTAACTAGCATTATCTGAATTAGTAGGAGTCATATGACTTAAAGTTTTCTATTAATAGCGGGGCTCCCGCGCGCGCGAAGCGCGCGTAGGAAAGAGCCCCATACTCATGGAATATGATCAACCTCTTTTCGTTTGGTTGTCACGTGATTGACCGAGCGTACGTACGTAGGCGTCTACAGATTGTACGGGTGGGGTAGGGGAGACTATCAAAAGGAAGGGAAGGGTGTCTCAGGCGTGTCTTGGCAAGTCCACATCTTTAATATAGGATTTTAGGACATTCACAATATGGTCAATTGACAGCTATCAAAACAGAATAGCCACTGACCAGTATCCCATGACCATATCGCGCGCTCATGTGTCAACTCATGTAGGTGACGTGATTTATTTGGAAGCTGTCCGCTGACCAGTTAATTGTTTTACTAGATCGCGAACAATGTTCAATCTCATACTTTTACTAGTTAAACTGATAATGCACACATATTGGACATCAATGTTTGGATCACTTAACAGCTGTCAAAACAGGGTACCCGCTGACCAGTATCACTTGACCGTATCGCGGGCTCAGGTGTCGACCCATCGAGGTCAAGTCTTTTTTGAAGTTATCCGCTGACAAGTTACTAGTTTTCAAGTGATCGCAGGCTCAAGTTCAAGTTTTTTCTAAATTCATATGAAATATGTTGCGTTTATGTGCTACACAATTAAAATTTTGATTGCAAACTGACCTCGGACGCGAAAATTCAGCCAGCTGTTACAGGCAGGGAAGACAGTTGCTTTTGATTTTTCTCACCATGGTTACGCGTTGGTCACGCTCTACGTCCACTTTTTATGCTCTGATTGGTCAAAATTTGACAGGTGAGTTCATGCGGAAAATTTATGCAGCATCTTGAATCTTGTTTACTTTGACAGCTGAGGCCGACAGCGTTTTGTGTCAACTTGTGATGTTTTTAACGGTCTTTTTCCACTGGATGTGCAAAATGAAATTCAGCTGCTACCAGGAGTCCTCTGTTATTCATGGCTAGTTTGTTTATTGGGTTTTTGGTTGAGGAATACGTCGCTTGTCAAAGTCGGAAATCCGATTTCGGACGGCATCGTTTTCGTTTTCACCTTGCTTGATGCATAAGAGGATTGCAAAGTCTGAAGCGATACTGGCTTTTCTTGATACCTTCCAGGAGCTGCATCTCGAATAGTAAGCCAGAGAAATTATTGTATTTGATGTTTGTTTTTTTGGATCTAATTTAATGAAGTCGAGCGGAGTTGATGCGGTCATTTAGTTTATGCACGTTTGTAAGATTTAAGACAATGATCTGACCGAGTATCAGGTTTGATATAAGCTTACAGAACTTTAAAAAGCCTTTAGACAGTTTCTTACCTCAAATAGAAAGAAAACGTTCCAAAGAATATTTAGTTATAATTCTGGCCGGAAAAGAAAGCTTTGAGCGATTTTCTTGCCTCGAGTTCGTCTTTGTAAAAAGCAAACACCGGGAAGCCGGCTTAAAACATAAACTTAAGCTTGAAGCTTGAAGACTCAGGATTTTTAGGGATACTTTAATACTTGTCTTCCTGAATGAAAATTGTTGTTTCTGTATATGTTTCACCGAATTATATTTCTTTTATTGATTGTTAGTAGTCTCTCTTGTAATTGTAATCGCGGTGCCGATTGTTTTCAGTCGTTCAGTGAACATCGCTTGCAGGAGTACTCAAAATGCCGCGCGTTAATAAACCATTAGATAAAAAATAAACAGAATAAATTCTTTATAATGTTGGAGCGTAACTCTGTTAATGTTCATTCAAACACTCGCCACAGCTCGCACCACAAAAGTGAGAACCGGATGGCCGTATAGGTGATTTTGGAAATTTTTTTAACAGTTTATGAATATTGAATGAGTGCAATTTGTATTGTGAAATGCTGCTTTCTGTCCGAGGTCTGCCGGTATGATAAAAACAGTGCCTCATACTACTGTTTCACCTCAGACGTGATGTATAAATGGTATAAAAGGTTGGTTTACACGCACCCAGATTTGTTGACAAGATTTTGCAAAGTAAACTTGTCGAAAGCAAAAAAGTTGGCCTGTTTTTTTTTTTCCCACTAATTAATCTACGGTGATCAAGAGCCATTATGGCTCTTAAATGTGCTCGAAGATGATTACCAGTTTTTGGGTGTACATATGAGGCTATCAACTCCATGTAAGATTTGGTTCACTCTTGGGCTGTTTGCAAATTATTTTTCTCTAAAATCAGGTAGCCTTTCCCTCAAAAGTCACATAAATGTGCTCTAAAGTTAACTGAATTGTGGAATTCGAATACAAGTTTATTGTTTAATTTAAATTATAAATTTCTTAATGGAGCCTCGCTTTTAGCCCTGGCTAAATCTATATATTAAATTTTGCAAGTTGCAATAAATTTATCTATTATAATTGTTACCATTTACAATTATTAAAGCAATGAAATATAAAAAAGGATTATCCTATATAAAGATTCGTTTATTGTTGTTCCCGACTTTTCTGTTATTTTCATTATACTTAAATATGTCTTTCTAAATTATTTGTTCATTATTTCTTTGTCTTAGTCGTAGCAAATGGAATGTATACTTTTCATTCAATGGTTGCACCGTACAGCCAGGAAAATGCCTTTCTCAACGATTGCTGGAGATCAAAATATGGTATATTCTACTTAGATAAATTTTGTCAGGTATTTATTACCCGTATTCCTGCCTTGTCCAAAGAAGCCAGCACATCGAGAGACACAGTTTCCTTTGAATCTGCATGTCGGCCAGGATATTTCTTGCGCCAAAAGAACTATCACTTCATTCTCCAAAAGAGAGACGGAACGGAACTTTTCGGTAGGTATACATCAGAATCTTTTGCTTTTAGATCCAGGCAACGGGGTGTGGTGCTCCCTTATATAAGCTATGATATGTAGGCATGTGCCGGCCCAAATGGTACAGTTTTTGTCACAAAAATGGGTATAGCTTTTGCCCATTATGGTGTATCTAAATACGGATACGGTTTTAAATGGAACCACGAGGACGTATAAATTTATTAGTTATTCAGCTATAAACGTATTTGTGTTTTTTTTCTGATGAATAAGACCGTCTAGTGTCAAATCCTTTTTAATGATAAATAATGCTTTTGTTCACTTCACTTGAACAAGGTAACCGGGGAAGGTACACCCATATATGGGCTATATGGATTTTGAGAGCTTCCATCCTTGAATAGGGCATTATTTGCACCCTTGTTCGCGTTGTGCTCGTCTATCCTCCCTTGGTTCTCGGTGTGATCGTTAGAAAGGGTACCGTTGCTATAGGAGCTAAAAATTCAAGTTCGTATCGCCTATATGCCCATCTTCACGAGAAATAAATCACCTGTTAAAACTGAACTTTATTTTCGAGAGAAAGGAAGCAATTAAAGAAAGATTCGTGTGTTTCCATTAAATTCTTAGTTTTTGTTTTTCCCTTGAATTGCCACATTTTTCAGGTTTGGGCCTTAAATAAGGTATCAGTTTTGGTCTGTCTGATCCATAAATAGGGTCAGGGTTTAAGACGCACACACCTATCCAAAATTTATGGGATAACCGCCCCCACCGAGAAAAAGGTAATAGATTGGCGAACAGAGAACAACTTTCAGAGGCCAGTTCTGAAAAAAGGATGAGAAAATGTTTTGGACTGAGATAAGGCTAGGATTTGGAAAACCGCGCGAAAGTTTTTAAGAGTGAAAGTTTTTCCTCTACACTTAAAGACTCAGTTTCGCAAGCCGCCACTTTTCTTCATGCTTAGTAACCTAGCCCTTTTATCCGTGACGGCATTCCGTCGAAGGTAAGCCGATTGGCGGGAAGTTCAAGTGGAATGCTAACGTTCAAGAAACACAAGAGGCAAGGTCGATTTTACTGTCGGGAATATATATTTCTTTTACCAATCTTTAGGAAGGCTCAGGGTCTTGCATACAATGATAAGATAAAGCTAAGACGTTAAAATTTGAAATAAAGAATAGCTAGCCTGTACACAGACGTTTTATTTTTCTTTTCGTTTTTTTTGGAAAAAATCGGCCAGCAAGCGATAGTGTGCGATATGATGATACTATGATAACAGGTGAATTTAAATTAGAAGAAAAGTGAACCTTAAAAGTACATCTATATGAAAACAAAAACCGTTGAATTAGTGATGTGAAAGAAATTTGAAATGTAAAAATAGTATAGATAAATGATTACAAACGGAAGAAATAAAAAATTTAAAAAAAGATTGCGATATTCTTTAAATTATTACGGTACAAGGATTTTGTGCACTGAATATTAAAATTGCTCAATTTCCTGGTGGATTCTGTCTTAATATTTTAATGATCATCTGTTATTAAATCCCCAGATAAAGACAGTTCATTTTTTGTCTACGACGTCGTGAAGTACACTCGCTATTTTCTCTTCAATTCGATGCACAAAGACTGGTATATCTGCGAGGAAAATAAGGCTGAAGATCGTGGAGTTCACAAAATAAGTAAACTTGGTCTAGACTTTTATAGTGGTAACCCAGACGTTCTTCCACGTTGTGCCTTTATACTCAACCCAATAGAAAAAAATGGCGACAAGTTTAGGAACTGTAAAAACTTTATTGGGCCAGTGGAAACTCCAGAAATAAGCGGACAACCTTTTCCTCATCCACCTCATTTGGTTTCGAATAAACCACCGTCTCCTTTTGGGCTACCAACCTGTATACCAGTTTGCCCAGCGAGAACAACACAGCCGGGAGCTCAGGCAGGACAAGGGAGTATGGGCCAAGCGGGTCCCGGCACCTCCGCTGCTGGAGCGAGTTCATCACATGGAGTTCAACCCTCAACAGCTGTTCAACCCCCTAACAAACGTAAGAGATAGACGATGAATATACTTAACTTCCTCAAATAAAAGTTTTCCCTTGATAAATCCCACCCTTCCCTTTGATACAAAAAAAGAAGTAATTGCTGCCACCTACTCATACCCTTAAGTAATCAAGGGAGATGAAAAACAAATATTGTGTCAAATGAGCGCCTATTTAAATTTTTTGAGTCGAGAGAATGGCTCAAATAGGAAGGGGTACTCTTCGGGCATATTACGGTATTTATGGCTATAACTTTCCGAAAGAAACATCAAATAATCGCACAAAACCCACCTTTCCAATAAGCAGCCATTTATCGAGCAAAAGATATTGTCTCCGCTTTCAACTTTTATTAAAAATACAGAAAAAAGAAACTAATTAAAAGTGGGTATAGATGGGGATAATTGGAGAAGGTTTAAACAGACTGCATTCAGATCAACTTGATAACCACGGACACTGTTCACAGTGAACGCACCTCCTCAAGAGGGTCATATTGGCGTTAACCGTCAGACGACCGAGGACGTAACCGCCAACCATCAAAAAGCTGAATTTTTTAACGCAGCCCATCAAGGGCCCATTTACAAACGAGTTAGAAAGAAAATTATTATTTCACTGAATCATCATCATCGGTCAACTCGGAAGAACAGTCGACTGTAAATCGTCTGACTCCAACTGTGGTATGTGTATAATTTTCTTTTATGGTAATGACGTCATGTTGGAATAATAAAAGAAGGATAGAGCGTCAGTCACTCAAGTCAATCATTCTGTTCATACACTGAGCACCTTTCTAAGGATTCGTGCAGATCCCAGCATGCAGATCTTTTGAATCTCTGCCATAGTAGCTCTCTCTGATACTTTCTTGATGTCTTCTATCATACCCTTCTTCACTGTACTAAGCGCGCCAACAACCACAGGGATCACTACGGTTTTCATATGCCACATTCTCTGTATTTCTAGTTCTAGGTCTTTGTACTAGGTCTTTATTATTATTATTATTATTATTATTATTATTATTATTATTATTGTTATTAATGGCGTGAGCTTGTAAATTAGTGTTTTAGGACCTTTTAATATTTTTATGTCATCAGAATTTTAGTCTATGATAGTGGAATGTATTGGTCCTATGTTAATAAAATTTTTTAGTTATTAGTAATGGTAAAAGGACTGAGTGGAGTCCAATTCGTGCCACGTTCACGATCCGTTTTCTCATTTCGGAATTCGCAAGGAAAACTCGGCGTTCACAATCCGTTGCTGCCCTTTTGACAAACATGCGAACTCTAAAATCAAAAGCGGCCTTCACAATTGCGTTTTTCGCTGCCGTCAATCATAATTACGAGCACAAGCAACGAACCTTGAAACACAGAAACACACCTGAAAACGGATCCAAATCCACCAATCACAAATCACAAACCACGACCTTTTGAACCCGTTAAAGTAAAGTTTTATTTCCTAACAGGTCCGTTAAGATGATTGACGGCAGCGAAAAACGCAATCGTCAGTTGGCTTTTGAACTTCAGAATTCGCATGTTTGTGAAAAGCGCAGTAACACCAGGAAAATATGCTGTTTACTTCACGTTTTCCAGCACACGGAAAATGTGGTTGAACAGTGCGCTTTCTCTCGTTAAGCGGACATTTTACCAAACGGTTAATGTAAGGAAAATATCGCGTTCGTGACTCGTTTTTCCACTTCGGAAAAGACAACTTGGCATTCACCATCACTTAACAGAGGGAAAATATGCTGTTCATGTCACGTTATCCAGCACATGGAAAACGGGATTGAACAGCTCGTTTTCTCTCGTTAACCGGAAATTTTACCAAACGGTTAATGTCGTGAAAATAGGGAACTTAAGAACCACGACGAAGTTCACGACGACGACGTCCGTTGACTGGGAAAAGACTGGAACGAGAACGTCCGTTTCGGCGGGAAAAAGGAAAGTTAAGATGCGGTCGGTCGGTAGGTCGACGACGGCGACACTGAATGTAAACACAGATGTAAAACTGTGATGTTCGTTCGCAACAAAGTTTTTCGCAATGGCTTCTTTCAAAACAATGCAAGATCTTATTTGTTCAAGCCGTACGTCTAATTTCATTGACGATGAAAAATTTTTTGAGTTGTCTGACCTTTTCGAGTGGAAATACACCTACTTTCCGTACAAAATTATTCAACTTTCAACTTGAATGAGATGACCGAGTCCGAGTGTCTGTCAGAGTTTAGATTTCGAAAAAGAGACATTCTGATGTGATAGCTGTTTTCCATATAAAGTTTATTTCCTCTATATTAAAGATATATGATTTGCCTTACCTAAATACGTACAAATAAATTTATCACAATTCACTTACGAGTTCGCTCGATCGGCCTCCTCAGCTGTTGTCATTCTTCAAAGTAAATCAATTTATTAGTCGAATTTTCAATCAACATCGCTTGTTAGCAGAAAAAAGGAACGATACCTGGATTTAGGAGGACAAGAAAACGCAAAGGCCTTCAAAAATCGCTTAAAATAGTGGATTTATACCTGCCGAAGCTTGTGGATTGCAGGACGACGTGATTCTACTTTGTTTGGCGTCGTCGACGACACCACGACGACGAAATTTACTAGTAGCGCTTGCGCAGTACAGTGTAACTCACTTCCGGTCGTCGTCGACCAAGCCGTCGTCGTGGTTCTTAAATTCCCTAATATCACGTTCCTGAATCCTTTCCCGACTTTGGGTAACACAAGGAAAACTCGCGGGAAAACTTAACATTCACCGGCGGTAACACCAGGAAAACATGCCGTTCANGAAAAAGAGACATTCTGATGTGATAGCTGTTTTCCATATAAAGTTTATTTCCTCTATATTAAAGATATATGATTTGCCTTACCTAAATACGTACAAATAAATTTATCACAATTCACTTACGAGTTCGCTCGATCGGCCTCCTCAGCTGTTGTCATTCTTCAAAGTAAATCAATTTATTAGTCGAATTTTCAATCAACATCGCTTGTTAGCAGAAAAAAGGAACGATACCTGGATTTAGGAGGACAAGAAAACGCAAAGGCCTTCAAAAATCGCTTAAAATAGTGGATTTATACCTGCCGAAGCTTGTGGATTGCAGGACGACGTGATTCTACTTTGTTTGGCGTCGTCGACGACACCACGACGACGAAATTTACTAGTAGCGCTTGCGCAGTACAGTGTAACTCACTTCCGGTCGTCGTCGACCAAGCCGTCGTCGTGGTTCTTAAATTCCCTAATATCACGTTCCTGAATCCTTTCCCGACTTTGGGTAACACAAGGAAAACTCGCGGGAAAACTTAACATTCACCGGCGGTAACACCAGGAAAACATGCCGTTCATTTCACGTTTTCTAGCCCCTGGCAAACGCTATTCAAGGGTGCGTTTTGAACCTCATTTTACTATTGTTAACAGCAACGTGTAAACAGGCCGTTGACCGCCGTGTTTTATTCGGGTCCAAACATTTCCCGCCAAGAATTCCCTCAGCTTTATTTTGATTATCTTATCAGCAAGAACTTGGCCAAGAAACCGGTGTCTGAGAATATTACAACTGAAATTGACTTCTCAGTAATCTCAGTTCAGCAAATTCTGAATACGATAAGACTTATTTGAGGTCTGTCGTAATCGTCGTTGTTTCTGAAACAAACTCAAGGCATGTAAAATGCATGTAGAGGCTTTTCTCTACCGCGAGGCCGCGAAGCAAAAGATACGCAAGACATCACGAGTGAGACAAAAGAACAAGATCACATGACCTCAAAGTCCGCGTTTCTTTCATGTGAGAAAATTTTGTCACATTTCGGAGCAGGAGGCGGGAATTTCGAGTTTTTGTTGTTTTGCTGCCATGTCCGCGGGAGATCGTGGTCAAGAAATCTCTCTTTCGGACCTTTACTTCTTGTTATTACAAGCCACGGTGTGAAGGTGTTGAGGGCGCAAGTGGCCGAGAGAACAGAGAAAGAAGAGGACGTCAACAGACTTACCTTTAAGCTGTAGACGAGCTGTGTGAAACGTTTTCGACCGAAGAGGAGTGTAGAAAGAGGAAAAGGAGCGCCAGTTGTTAACTGACGGTTTCAAGACAATTAGGGTAAGATCTATTTTAACTTCTTTTAGCATGTATCGTAACGAATTGATCTCGAAATTGAATGCAAGTCGAGGATTTGTTAGTAAGCTACAGGGAGAATCTGGAATAGTGAAATTCGGAATCCGGAATACAACTACCTAAGGAAAACTTTCTTGGAAGGGACAAGAAAACAGTTTTGGAAGATCATGAGGCTAAAACTTACCCTACCGTGTGGCACAGAATTTTTGTGCGAGTTTGTTTTTGCAGATTGGTGATTTTTTCTGTCTTGCGTGAACTAATGTTTGCGATTAGGAGAGATTGTTTTTTCTTGCTGGGAATTAATGGCTCAGTCAATTCCAAGAGTGCCTTCCCCCCTCCTTCCGCTTGGGCATTTGTCAGGCATTTAATAATTATAATAATATCAAAGGTGACGAATTACTCCTTAATTTTGGCGCGAATTTTCAGCGTTAATTTGTAATTTCTCATGTGAAATTACAAAATTGCCATGACAACCTTCCGTACATCTCAGAGTCAAGATGGCGACGAAGTTTGAAAATGGCTTGAATGAAGATGTCAGGGCACAAAAAGACGCTTTAGAAAACCGGAACACACAAGAGAACATCAAGAAGGATTCTAACAGGTATTTTGCCGAAATAGTCTGAAAAATTCTGAACTTTGTAAGCCAAATTTAAGGTCTAAACATTTGAAAGAGTGGAGTTCTCGATCGATACGACCCAGGATAAACATGCCAAAAATCCAAGATTTCTAACGTAATTCGTCACCCATGATATTAATAGGTAATCAAATGGTATACTCGTGAAATTAGGGAATAATTGCACTTGCGTTTTGTCCAAATCCTAATAATTTCCCTTGCCTAAAGGCTCGGGAAATTATTAAGATTTGGACAAAACGCGCGTGAGATTATTCCCTAATTTCACTCGTCACCATTTGATTACACATACTAATCAA